GGGTATGCGCAAAACAATAATCTTCAAGCCATTTTACTCCTGTAATTGTTTAAAGATCATAAAAATAAGATTGGTACATTCACAAAGGTCAAAATGTTGCACTTCAATCCTTATACCATTTACAACCAGCATTTTGCTTTCTTCTGTCAGTCTGGATCTGAGTTCTAGGGAGCTACAAACTGGATAACTATGTTGACAGTGTCACAGATTACATAATTTTTCATCAGGAAATACTCAACTTTAGCCTTCTGTTCAGATGTTCTGTAAGTATTTGCCTTCAGAATTTGACAGAGCACCATGTCGTCTAAGACCAAGGGAAGTTAAAACGTTCATCTGAGGGCAGACCTATCAGTCTTTGTAATCCTACAATTGAAACACTATTAAGCTTTTTTATCTTTTTATCTTTTAAAACCCAAAATGCAGGGAAGGAAGAAAATAAGAAAAATTACACTATGAAGGAGAAACAAACTGCCATAGAACAATGCTTTAGAAGGCCAGAGAGCTAACATATAAGCAACCTGCAAAGACTCTAATAAGGTAAAAATTTTAAAGAACACTGTAGCCACCTTTCACATTTATTCCTGATAAAAGATTGTGATACAGTATACCCTCAAACATATTCACATTCCCTTCCCCAGTAAGAATACAAATTACTAAGACAATATGTAGAAAACTCTTGAGAGTTAAAAAACCAGTGTTGCAGAAGAAATTCCCAAGAGTTCTTTCCTGTTGCACTGCAACCAAAGAAATTCAGGTTGGTTAGGCAGAGTGAAAGAAGGTCCACATAGTGCAAACCCCTTTTGACCAGAAGGCATGGCTGTGTGTGTGGCTTCAGGTGGAAATGTTTGGGCTGATATGAGATCCAGAAATCAGACTGCCATATTTTCAGCTGAAAGCAGAACAGATCAGTCTGGGCAGAAGAGGATTTGAATGCAGTTTCCGTGTTTCTGCTGCAGCATGATTTTGGGAAGAGCCTGTATCAACATCCCCTCCCAGCACCAGCCACACTTTTGGGAACCTCTCCCAGTTAAGCCCAGAAATCGTGAGGGAAAAGGAGCTGAAATTGCTCTCTAAAAATATACTATACTCTGAAGAGCAAAGACATGGAGAAGGAGCCTTACTGTTTAAGGTCAGCAGTGGCACAAAAAAAANTTATATATATATATATATATATATATATATATATATATATATATAAACTATCTGAAAATAAATTTAGGATAGAAATTCAGTTTCTAAAAGCATGAAAAGTGAGGCTATGCCCCGCCTTCAAGAGGTGCAGTGAGAGTGATAACCCAGCTAAATACAAACCAGTTTTTTGAATCTGAACAAAGTAAGAAGATCAGCCTAGTATCACAGCAAACAGACTTCATGACTCTGCAGGCCACTCTAGTTCTAGCTCTCATATTGAAAAACATAAGAAGATAGTCTTCTTTTACCAGTTCAGGCCACTACAGCAGCTAAAACCACATATTCATGAGTCAGCACACTGGATGCTATACAGGTTCTCATTTCTGTTCACCTGTTCTTCATTTGCAAGTAAATACTGATAATAGTTTGTTATGGAAGAAGAAAAGAAAAACCGATTTCCAAAGAGTTCAGTTTACAATCCATCATAAAGGTATCTTAAATCCCTGTACTGTCCTGAATACCAAAATAGATGTAAAGAAAAATAGAAGATGTCATTTCAGTCTAGACACCCATTACTTTCAGAAGCTAGGACAGTATGACTATATCCCATACTATATAAGGAATATAATGATATCATCACTTGCAGATACAAAGCTGCAATTTGTAGGCAAAATTTTTATTCATCTCAAAAGCACAAAAGGACAATTGTCTTTGACACTAACTATGGCTTTCTAAAACATTAGTCACAGCACAACTATAGAAGCACCAAGCCGAAACAAATTCCATCAACCCAGATCCTGCTCTGCCCACATACTGCACAGAGGTAGAAGGATCCTCTTTCAAAATTGGCTCCTTTATTCCTATTTTAAGGTCCCAAGGCTGCTTGATATATATGAACTCCTACAACCTCAGAATGCTGCAAATTAAATGTATGTATGTTAATTACCATACTACTCAGACAACAGGTGCTTTGTGGATGAAAACAGCGCTAAGTAGAAAGTTTTAGGAATGCACTTTCTCAGACTTCCAGATAAGACTAGGTGAGCAGGAATAGCTCTTCACTCAGCAACTATCTCTACAAAATTACTCACACAACACACCTGCAGTATTAAAAGAAAGGACAAAAGGATCATTCTGGAAACTGCTAGCCTAGGTACTTTATTTCAGTGCTTTAGCAGTATCAAAATATTTTACTTCTGGGAGTTGCACCTAATTTAAAGAAAACACTTCATTTAAATAAAGGGAGGGATGGAAATAAATAGAGGGGTGGAGAATAAAGTTTCAATCTCTCTTGTTTTTTAATGGCTTGCTTTTAAATTAAATAATGAAAAATAAGCAGGCTGAGTCTTCTTAAAATGTGGTATAATGACCCAACAGATTATAACTATTTTAGAAAAGTCATCATAATCTATCATGGAAATATATCAACTGGCTTTTAGACACATGAATTATTGACCCTGTTATGCTGCCAAAAGTATTTTAACATGTCAGAGCAGAATTCATGCATAAATATGTGCAAAATATTTTTATTGCAGTAAAACTGGAAAAAGCCAGTGTAAACACATAATAGTTATGTTTCTACAAAGATAAATGAATTTATTTATTTTTCAACATGACTAATTGCATGATGTATACACTTACACTTTCTACTTTAAAGGAAGCTGTTACATTGCAAGAATATAAACATAAGAATCAGAAGCCTCAAATTTCCAAATGCATTTGTAATTCTCTGAATTATATTTGCTTACATGACAATGACAAAATAAATATATCCCCTGTAACTTACTTTAGGTTCCACATCTGAATACACAGCATATCTTTATAGTCAGTTTTAGATCCTTAAATGTTCTTTATATAAAATACAGTTAGCAATCCCATCACAATAAAGTAAACAACAGAGAACATCACAGAACATTCAGCTCTTGAACTTTAGCATATTTTGCCATATATTTCTCTGGAGGGAAAAATAAATAAAATAAATAAACAAACCCCAAACCAACCTACCCTGTCATCTGGAAAAATCTTTCCAAATTGTGTTTTACAGAACCAATATCCTGTCTGTACATCAGGGGCAGCCTCTGTTAAGCATTTAAGTGCTCTCAGTGAAAAGTAACAGTTTCTCCTCCAATCCTGAACTCTCAATAACCATCACTGAAAGTAACAGTTTCCCATTCTTTGTCAGCCAGTGGTACTATTTAATCATCAAAAGAAACAAACCACCTTCAAGCAAATATCAGCTTCTGATTAATCTCATCCCAATGAATTAGACTCATAAGAGGCAACCTGCTGCCTTGTTTACGCCTTTTTAATATGAGGAGCAGAAGTTGGATATAAGGGTTTTCTGCCCTTAGGGCTACAAAATATGCCTCATGTGGCAGCGAGCCAGCTCGCCGAGGGAGCCTCCTTTGCTGTTCCACAGCTATTTTCTAATGGATAAATTTAAACAGACACACAAAAACACACGAGTCACCACAATACATGGCCAGAGCTATTGTTTTTGTCTAAAGTCCTGAGAGCATCTGTATTTGTACTGAGGATCTCAAGATTCCATCCAGTTTCGGTTTGGGCTTTACTTTTGGCTGTTTTGTTTATTTGGGATTTTTTTTAAACGCAACGAGGAGAGGAGGGGTGTCTGGATTTTTTTTTTTCCCCAGCTGACTTCCCCTCTATACAGCACAGCACATAAAACACCTCTCTTCAGCTTTAACTGACCTAGGCTCAATTAGCGCAACATTTTGCACACATCCAAGCAATCACAAGGCAGAGATATTTAGTCCAGTCCTCATGTGTATTGCACAGACACAATTAGAAAGGAGTGGAAGGAGATTTCTTAAAAAAAAAAAAATCTCACAATGTAATTTACACAGTGTGGAAACGCCTACAAGGAGATGAAGTACCTGCACTGGGGAGATGTTCAGTTGTTCACTTCATCTTCCGTTGACAAGGAAACCAAACCGCACTTCATTCTCCAGGAAAACCTTCCACTGCCATCATTTGAAAATGTATTTATTTGTATATATGTATATATATATCATCATCATCATCATGATAACAATAACCATCATAAAACACTGCTGGCAAAAGAATAAAAAGTGAAGGTGCAAAATGTGCAAAAGTAAGGATCATCTCTTTGGCTTTCTGTTTTGCTTTGTTATCTTTAGGGAGGAAAAAAAGTATTTAAAAATGGTGACTGCAACATGCTGCAAGAAAAGTTTCACATTATAAACAGGCATCAAAAACTGAAGACGAGGAAAACCAAAAAACCCTGCTGGTTGCACTGTCAAAAAAAAAAAAAAAAAAAAAAAAAAGAAACAGTAACAAAAATAATAAAATTAACATCTTGCTCTGTGGCTTCCACCAGTATTGCAAGATAACAAACTGTGTAAACACTGCTGTAAAATGCATTTGCAATTCCCATCTCTTTAAGGAAAAAAAAAAAAAAGCCCTTAAAAAAACACCCAAAAATAAAAATAAAGCAACACCAGAAAAAAATCCTCTGCAAAAAAGAGTTAGAAACATGCCTTTTCTCTTATCTTTAAAAAATAAGCATCATATTTCACATCGCTTTTCTGTGCCACAACAAAACCAGTTGCATATATAGATATAGAGCTACTAAATGTATATCAGTTGTTGCTGGACTGGCAAGTCTGTGTTATTAATATTATCATTTTTCATTCCCAGTGACTCCCGGCCCCAGCAGCACCTTTTGCTCACAGTTTAGTAACCATCGCATGCTAGGAAAAAAAACTTGTCATCAGCAAAAGATCAAATCCATTTAAACAATAATCAAAGAGGAAGAAAAACAAAAGGAAGAAAAAAAAAAACAGGACAAAAAAGGAGGACAAGAATGTCAGCAGAAAGGTACTCACCGAGCGGGAGTAAAAGGGAGGAATAAAAATGAGAGTTACTATAAAATACAGTATGGCGGTGGAAGAAGGAATGAGGCGCTTTTTTTTTTCTCTCCTCTCTAGTCTCTGCCTCCGGCAACCGCCACGTGATCCGGAGCCGGGCGGACTCGCAGCCGGGAGGGCGCAGCGGCGGCGCCGGGCGCGGACCCAGCCCGAGCCCAGCCCGCTCCGCTCCGCGCCCGCCGCAGCCGCCCGGCTTCGCCGCCGCCCAGCGCTCCGCGCCGCCGCTGCCCTGGGCAGGTGCCGCTCCCCCCGCGCTCAGACACGCTCTGCTCTGCTCCGCTCCGCTCACTCTCTGCCGCCGAGCGCGGGCACGCAGCCGGCCGCGCGGGCGGGGTGCGGAGGCGGGCGCGTCCTGCGCGGCAGCGCAACTTGCTCGCCGGCGCAGCGCGAAGTTATCGCCTGACACCGCCCGCCCGCCTGTTGCCCTCCGGCCGCGGCGCCGCCGACCCCGCCGCTGCAGTGCCGCTCGCCCCCGGGAGTGGGGCCGGCGGCGGGCGGAGCGGGGCGCCGGGGTTTGCCCTGGCGAGGGGTGAGGTGCCCCCGGCGGCGGTCCCGGTGCAGCACCGGGCTCCGAGGCGTGTGCGCCCGGGTTATCCCTCCCGCTGATCGGCGGGGGATGGGGGACTGCTCGCGGGGGTACCGCGTGTGCGCGCACGGCAGGGGTAGCCTGCCGCCCGGCTCGCCGTCTGCACGGGATGCCAGCCCTGATTCCTCCGTGTGTGCGGGGGTGCCCCTCCCGCAGCTTCGGCTCAGCGTGGGTGCGCGTAGTACCCCGGCAGGCAGACAAGGCAGGCAGGGGCATCCCCTGTTGTAACGCCAGCTCCAGGGCACCGCTGCTGCCGGTGCAACGTGGGCGGCGGGGGGGTTCCCCTGTGCCACTCCTGCTCCGCTGTGTGCGCAGCTCGGGGTGCTTCCGTGCCGAGCGCCGAGGTTGCAGTCACTTTGCGCCCAGTCATGTCTGAGCAGCGCTGCTCCGGCTTCCTCCGGAGAGCGGTTCCCATGTGCAGCTGGGGAGAGGACAGGTACCACGGGTCCCATCCGTTACTGCTTCTGTTTCCGGGCCTCTGCCCAGCTGCACTGCTTCTCCCTCCTCCCGTCCTTCCAGCGGCAGAGCTGATGCTTCCCATCACAAAGTTACTGGCCGAGGTGGGAATCGAGTGTTTTCGGAGGGGGCCATTCACCGCTGGGTCCGCTCCCGGGAGCAGCCCGCAGGCGCCGGTAGCGTGGTGCAGGACAATGGGCTCCGGCCGGGCTGACCCCGGCTGTGCAGCCTCCCTCGGCACCGCAGCTGCCCGCAGTGGTGGAAGTGCTTAGGGTCCAGCCCCTCCGGACTTAGGTGCGGCCCTGAAGCAGCTCCGTGGCTGGCCGGATAGCAGCTCTCTGTCTCCCTTTTTCTTTAACGTACAAAAAATACACTGGAGGAGACTGTGCTACTGTTGCTGAGAGTTCCCTCAAGACGCTTGCTTTTCCCTTTTTAGCTCTCCTCGCATGTCTCCTTATTAACAAACGCAGCAGTCGCAGGGAGCGGCGGCTGGGGCTGAGAGCTGCTTTGCTCCAGCTGAAGCAAAACCTGCTCAGCATTGCCAGGCCACAACCCGCCGCCTCGGCTGTGTCCTCACTTCACTGGCCCCCAAAATGTTCTCAGCTAACAGTCACACACAAACTAACTTATTTACTACTTCAGCAATAGAAGGAAGAGACACAAGAGATAAATTAAGAGAGGAATAGAAGCGCACATCTGTGAACCAGACACTGTGATGGAGCAGTCCAGCCAGTATTTTCCAATACCCAATACTGCCCTGCCGTACTTCCTCCTCCCCCCTTCTTCTTCACGCACTTTTTTTTTTTTTTTTTTTTTTTTTTTGGTAGACCCCATCTCTTTTCATCCAGGTCAGGAGGCAGGAGATACTGTCAGGTTATTACTCTACAAAAATTACTCTGACCAGCCAGAGGATGCCCTGCTATATAAAAGACTGGTGAGGGCACCAGCCTTCCTTCTTCGCATCCTCACAAAAAGATTCTCCCCTTGCCCTGACCATTTCTTTCTTTCTTTCCTGTTCTTTATCTCTTCCTCAGTGTTTCCAGAAAATTAAAAGAAATGCTCCCTTTCTTCTTTGCTCTCAACTTCTTTTATGAAATACAAAAAGAACACTGTCCAAAGTTTAAAAATATATATAACCAGCTATGGTTCCTTGCTTGCTTTATATTTTGGCACTAGGCTTGTTTTGGCATTTCATAATTTTCTTCCCCTGCTATGTTTGGCTCCCAGGAGCAGAGCTATACATCTGAGAAGGTTTAAAACAAACAAAAAAGCAAAATAAAGGAAGTCTTTAAAGATTAAAAAAAAATACAAGAAATCGAAGCCTTTCGTGTGAAAACTAACCAACTTAACTGTACAAAGTTGCATGTACACGTGGCAATAAACTCAATCATATTGTCATGATAGTATCACAAACTGTCATGTCTTGAGGTTTCAGGTGTGGGAGGTGTATTTCCTTGGATGGTGCACTTCAATTTTGCGTAGCTCTAGGTACTGCATGTGTAAGTACAGTTGAATGACTAAGGCTTTTTTTAACGATATTTAGCATCAAAACATATTTGCAAAATCAAGGCGTGAATAACAATCCTATTTTGTTGCTGCTTTTCAGTTTCCATTACTGTTTATGTACTTTTGAGCACATATGTCTTCCTGAAATAACAACAACAAAAGTTAAAGGATAGCGTTTTAATGTTCCAGAGTTGTACAACAGATCTGACTTTTAAGTTATTTGTTGACACATATAGAGGATCAGAACATGTACATTTTGGACAATGTATTTTATGTATTTTTTGTTCAGTAGATTCCAAGAACTAGGAATAAGGTAAACTTGCAAGTATGTGTGTTCTTCCTCTCAGTGTGAATGTATTGACTGGTTATTCTGTAAGTGAATTAAAAAGTCATTATGATACACTTGGCAAATGTAAACATTGAAAGGTTCAGGGCTTAAGGGCAGCTTCCAGACCAGGTCTAGAACAGTGCTGAGGGGATCAGAAAATGTAAATAAATTACTTCCTCCTATAGGAGTATTGTAAATAGGAAGTATTGTAAATATTGTGAAAATTAACTTGTTCATAAGAACTTAACCTCAGTTTTACCTATGGAATCACCAAAGTATGCTTCTGTCACTTTTCCCCTTACAATCCATTAAGATGAAGTAAGCACTAGAGGGTAAGAGGTGCAAGAGGTTTGGCAGGGGTGCATGTTTGGAATAGTTAACAAGCAAGAGCTTGGAATAATGCTGTTTTCACAGAATCCCAGGAAGTATTTATTCATTGGTGTCTAGTTTCTACTTTCTGGCTGGAAGTTTCCTCCAAGAGCAGTTGAACACTTGATGCTAGACTGAAATGAGGGAAAGTTCATGACATTACTTGGTTATGAACAGTGCTCAAAAAAGTATACAGTAAAAGAATGGAGTTCAAAAAGAAGGAAAAGTAGGATCACTTAGATAATTTTGAGAGCAATCCAATGCATGCAAATAAGGTGTCTGCTGCCATTTTTTACACTTTTTCTTCTGCAGAACAGCAACTGAGTTCCATTGCAACATGATTAAGAGTTATCCTCAAAAGTAGCAAAGAATTCTGGGCAGAAAGTGAATGAACCAGCACTTCTACACTTCTGCTTAGCTACCGGCATAGAGTTGCTTCCTAAGGTTCCCAAAATATTGTACTACACAGCCAGTGCTCTGTGACTTATACTGGGCTTGCTAGCCTTTAGTTACGCCATTCCATCCCAATATTTCATATCTCTTCCCTGTACCTTTGCAGTACCACTCCTTTCTCCCTTCCACCTCTCCCAAAAAAAAGCAGAAATAAATATATTCTGAGATTACCTGATTGCCTATAATCTCTTTTTCTTGACTACATTAAACTTTTGTGCCCTCAGCATAGTGCTGCTGCTGTATATACACATTGCTTAGACAATTTTCTTCCCTTTCTACTGGAGCTGGTATTGAAGAAACACACAGTTGTTTTTTTGGGTTTTTTTATACCACTTTCAGTGCACTTACACTTTCCTAAAATAAAGAAGCTTCTCTTTGGAGGCAGTAAGCAAAATAGTTGGGAGTCCAGCACTAAGGTACTGGCTTTGCAAAGATCCATCACTATGACTCAGCAGCCTGAAAGCCAGAGCTCAAGTTGCAAACAGGTGCAAACAGCAATTAGTATCTCCTATTGCACTGGCAGAAGTCAGCTAAAACAATACCAGGTGCAAAAATAGCAACAGTAATAGTAAAATAATGATAAAATAATTAGTGGTCCTTTTTTGAAGATACAGCTGCCTGAGCTCGATTTAAGGGCTAATTTGTATGTAATCCCTTTGAGACCATTCAGTATAATTATAGGTTTATAAGGTTGTGGTGGGTGTTTTTGTTTGTTTGTACATGTTGTTTATGTCTACCATGAAATCAGTAAAGGGAAAATTAGTTGACCAGTAATAACTGCTAAATGAAAGAATTACTTGAATTTAGCCAACTATTACCTTTTTAAACCATTAAAGGAAGAAAACTGCATTTCTCAAACACTAGAGACTTAACTATTATCATTGAAACCCATTTATGTGTTGGCTTTATTTTGATTAAATTGCTATACCTTAGACAATATTAAGTTGAATTACTTCACATTTTTAAAGTACACTCCAGTTCATGTGATAAATATGTTACTTTAGAAAGAACTTTCGTTAATCCGTTTATCGCTGCATGCTATCATTTTTCTTGCTTTTTTTTCTACAGATGTATTGTTAATTTTAACAAAAATCCTTACTTGTTCTCCTTCTACCTCTCATAGTTCTTTTAAGACACTATTTATCTATACAGTGAAGATAAATCAATTCTTCTTTTACCACCTTTTCATCTGAAATTTCCAAGTGTCTGAGCAGAATGAGGGTTAAAAAGTTCAGTAGTAAATGACAGAAGGAATAATAGCAAGACAGCTCTGTTTAAAGGAGAGCAGATACA